GCGAGGCGTGAGTCGTAATTGAGAGGACACTGAAGTAATAGGGGAACACGAGTCTTACTACGTAAATGAAATGCGAGAGAGCAAAGCGAAAAATCGAGTAAAGCTACCGAGCGGGGAAGGGTATGAGATCTGGTCGAAAATCTTCTCTTTATCCCCGTCTACACCTCTATACTTCTTTTCTTTTATATCCTTTTATTTTCCCTCATTCGATGGGAGGGGGAGCATGACCCCTCCTCTTATAGTACGTACACCACAAGATGGGGGATGTACCCCCTAATGACGTGTCTATCCATGGTATTCGCCACAGGTGCGTTGATATGAATTGGACAATATTGATGTCGGCTTCGTGTAATGGGCCGCGGTGTAACATTTCATTTTTCCGTGAGATTCTTGTCTTGCAGTAATTGCATAGTTCTATTTGTACTTTTGCTCAATGAAATAAGCGGTCAGTTTCACCGATCAGCTCCTCGGAAAGCAACTCAATCAAAATGTTTCTATAATTTTCTACGTCATCTAAATATAGGCTTGTAACACAATCAATGACTTGGTCCATTCTTACTTTACGTCGAAAGTCTGAGAAAGGAGATTCGTTTCGTTTTAATCTTTTCTTTTGTTATCAAGTGTGAGCTGATATTGTTTATTCATCTTTGTCTCTCGTGCTGTCGATCCGGGGCCCACGGGTCTCACCCTTTATGACTGCCAATTGGAAGAGCAATTTGTCTACCTAAGTTAGTTTATAAATAAACAGAGTTAAAAGTCAACTGTCACTGATGAGCAGTCGTATACTCCACTACAATTTGTTTTTCCCTTGGCTTGAGGATTTATGATACTCGTTTGTTCCAATCATTACCCTACGTATTTTGTGAACGGTTGTATTTGAGTGATTACAGGAACAAAGCAGATTCCGTCATTCGGGTTTTCCTAACATTAGCTTTTTCCCTTTTTTTTCTTACAAAGGTCCATGAATTTGCTATGATAGCAAATGTATAGCATTTGAAATTTGTTATAGTCAGATGCTTAAGAAAGAACGATACTATAGAGTTAAGAAGAACCCTATCCAGTTTATTTTACGAACAATTGCACTAATTATAACTTGTATCCCTGAACGAAAATTAGAGTAATCGAATTGGATGGTGATTACTGGTTTTGGAATACTACTGTTGTTGATGTTGTTGTTAACATGTTAATAGGAAAACACTGGCCGAATTGAAAGGTAAATTTGGTTGTAATATCCTCTTTATTTCTTTTTCAAAAGTTACAACAATTTTTTTTTTTTTTTTTTTTTACTTGGGACCGTTGACATGACAGCGTTGATGTAAGGCTCAGCAGCGCTTGTATCATCATTCAACTTTATCGCATATGGCTCACACGAAGCAAAGTCATTTACAATTTGTATTTTTACGACGTTCTTTCCTAATTTCTTTTCTATTTTCCTTTTTTAACACCGTAAGGTGCAAGTAAACCAAATAGTCAGTATACAATTTCCGCTTTTTGTAATTATCATTAGCATCATATTTTGTCATACGTTTCAAAGAATTTATATCGTGCCGTGAAATAAATGACACTCATGGCATACATTTTTAATATGTTTGTATTCCCATTACGATACTACGTCAACAGCAAAATTAGCATTACGACCTTCATGGAACAAATATACAATAGGCCCCAAATAATAATCATTTACTATTACTTTTTTATTATCTTTATCACGGCTTTAATAATTACTCTCATCATCGTTATGTCCTAGTACTGCAAATTTGGATTATTAGAATTGCAAAATTTATCATGAAAGCATAAAGATATTTCCTACGCACTTATTTTTAAAAAAATTCCCATTCGTTCAAACAATTATTTGGGGGATGGTTTTGGTGAACCTGGATTATTTACACATAACATTGACCCCTTAATCAGGACGATTAATATCGGGAGGATCACTTTCCCTCCAATTAATCTCGCCACAGGGTCATCTCTGATAGTATAGATTAATGGTAAAGCTAGATCTCCATTGAATGTCAGAGAAGTTCATAAACTTGGTATTTAGCCGCCAGATGTGCCCGATTCTTCTTCATCTTCCCGAGGAAGAGGAACGTTTAGGTTGCCCCATGGGAGGATCTATTTCACCCACTTCAGAGTTCCCTCAATTTATCCAAGTGGGTAATTTGCAATACATTATACCCCTCTAGCAGAAGAGCGTCTACTCATTTATTATGAAACAGTGGTTCCTCGCAATGGCAGGTTTTAGTGGGCACGGCCCGCCCTTGCTCCTTTTTAAAACTAATGTGGCTTATCTTAGGTTCACAAAGAAAATTTTCCCCAATCACCATCTAATATACTGAAGGCAACTGCAAGATCTGATTATCCTTTTTTGTTTCTTTTTGTGCTTGCTTGCTTGCTAGATTGTAATGATTTTTCACCGACCTCCCCCTTTGTTGAAACATTGAACTGCCCCTGGAATCGGTGTCCCCAGGACACAAAGTGGTTCTCTATACAAACCGGTCTGTAAAATGATGCGACCTGACACACTGAATGGAGCAATCAAGGAGAAGAAGGACTAACCCTCAAAACGAAGGACAGAGATGAAGCTTTGATGGGTATAAAAGGGAAGGAATCAATTAAATCGGTTTTATTTCGAAATAAAATTCATTGATTAATCAATCTTTGACAGTAGATTGAGATTGAATGAAAGTAGGGGGCGAGTTTTAGTGAAGCATGACCACTAGGAGACGGGTATCTGAGAAGGAAAATGCTTGATACTCTGTAGTCATGGCAAAACATGCTTTTGAACTGATTAGGGTAACTCAATCTCATGTCACTGGCTCACTGAACAGGAATTATTAACAATTAAGTTCAAAAGTTTATCAGATCCTTATCTCATCAACTAGATCACTGAGGGGAAGATTTAATTGTTCATTAAGCGAATAATGTATCGAGTTTCTGAATAACTTGGCTTAAAGTCATATGTCATTTGCTTAACTTCAATTGTAGCTGATTTGATTTTCACCATTTTCTCGTTTCTGTGTGCGCGCGCGTGTGTGTGTGCGCACGTGTGCGTGTGTGTGGGCGGGTGTGCGTGCGTGAGTTTTGCTGTATGTTTTGTTGTTGCTTCCGTGACAGCAAACGGGACGACCAAATTATTAGTCCTATTTTGTTAATGTATGTGCGCATTACAGAGTTTATTCATGGTCTTACTAAGCACATAATATGCTGGAGGTGTCCAATACGAAGGCAACTTAACATGCATCCATATAAAACGTCACAAGCTAATATCATGACTGATGCACAAAATTGGTGTTAAAATTTAACATTTACATACAAATATTTGGACAGCTATGACTAAAACAGAGTCATCCCCAATTTGAAGAAAAAAATCCATACAATGCCAGAATCTGCAGCACTGTCAGCAAATTCGGATATTTTTTTTTAAACATCGCGAGTTGTAGAGAGTTTTTGCTCGTGTTTAATTTAAAGAGTAGTGGCATCATTTTTTGATACAGCTATTAATTTGATTTTGTAAACTTTTCGTTATAAAAGCCATTAAATAATAGTTTCTACCGATTATGCAATAGGTAAAAATTATACATTTCCAAAGCAAAGTTTTCCTAGCAAAACTTCAATGCAAAAAGTTGGAAATAGTTCTGCTTTATTTCATGTTTCGAGGAAGTTACAAGTCGATCGAAGGACAAACTGGCATCAGAAGATGAATGTTCGCAGCATGATAGTTCATAGCTACTTTGATTGATTGGTTATTTTTATTAATTTTCCATGAAAAAAATAACAAAGCATAAAACATTTTACAAAGCATTTACATTTCTTAAGTTAATACATGTACATACATAAATAATTCTGAATCATAGTTATCAATAACATGAAAGCATGTTCTGTAAATCATGAAATCGCTCCGCGGGGAAACATGAATTTTGCATAAATCAGAACAATGCAAATTGCTTTTTTATTCATATTAAAAGATGAAAGCTGACATGCGGTCTAAGGAAACCTTTTCGAGGCGTTTTGATTATGATTGATACTTTAAACAATGATGTGAACCTCTTGGCATCGCACTTATGAAAGCTTTCTGCTTCCGTGCCCTGTCACATGTGATTTCGCGCATCATCGTTTCGATACAAATCTAAAAGGAGCATGATATAATTGAATCCTAATTCAAAGAATAGCACATACGAGTATGTTACAGCAACGTTTGTATACGGTATTATTAGGGACTTGTCCTATTCAGTAGATGTGATATTATTTCAATTCCTTTATGGCGCCATTCTTCCCATAGCTTGTCATGAATTATTTATATTTTACCTATTTTTTTCTTGTTGAAAATGAATTTTGACCACATAAATATAATATTCGGGCAAAAATTAACTGAACGTTTGAAGTATGCCTGCTTTTACATTTTACATGATAAGAAAGGGTTGTACTGTATAATGAATAAGGCAATGTACCCTTTTAATATCCACTGCTATATAAAACTGAATGTATAGACAATTATTAATTTGTTTGATCCTAAAGCAGTCTGGCATGAGTTTAACTTTTCCATCAAGTAAATCAACAAATTCATTAATATTTCTATTCCTAGCACTCAATTGACCAATAACAAGCTTTAAAGCCCAACTTGGAATGAACATATTGTCTCGATAACATCATGCTTAGAGATCTTTGTGTGTATTATTCGTAATATGTATGTTTAATAACGATTATATAAGTCTGAAATAAATAAACCCATTGAGACTACTTATTTAATAATCTTTCAACTTACGAAAATTCTCAATTTTCGTGGGAAGAATTACGTCTAACTAATTGATGGCGAAGAGACAAGGAACAACTGCTTGTATATGTTCTGTACATGAATATAAATCTTTAGTTAACTGATCAATATTTCTTTCATAATGTAATCGCATGACCAGAACTAAACTTGAATTGTAATGGTATTGTCAAACAAAACCATCGATAATGGACAATTATATCCTTTTCTCATTTATTTCCTCTCTTTGCAGGACGCGAATCCATGAAGACAAAACAGTTCAGAATCGGCTATAGGTACGGCAGGGCGTGGCAGCCACCCACCACATTAGACGACAACGTTTACGGTGCCGACAATTACGACAATGAAGCTTTCCAATTTCGAAACTTACCCCTCTTAGAGAAGCTCATCGCTCAACTTGAAAAAGCCGACGAAAATGGCGGTTATTAATGGATGGATACATCGCAAGGGGACAATACTCATTAACTAGAATCAAACATTTTTTATTGATTAAAGCAGCAAGCTATCGGAAATATTGTCGGAAAGAAATTCATCCCTTCGAGTTACCGGACTTCAAAAGAAATTAAGCGCAAAGAAGTTGAAGGGGCCGTGTCCATAAGTCAATGCACTTTCATGTTGGGATCATAGAGGTTTCTATTTTTGTGGTATATGTTTCCACATTCAATTTTATTCGTGTGTGTCATGATTTATTCGTCTTTGGGGGATTGGGTCCGTGCTTTGCTGAGAATAATATCCAAGAATGGACTTCCTCTCGTCATGTTTTATTTTGCCCGGACAGATTATCCTCAAGATTATGTGGAATTTTCGGTGTTTTTTCTTTCATATTCGTCATCTCACCTTGAAAATCATATTTGAGAGTAGACTACATGTAACCTTTTGTTTCACTAGGATTCTGATCAAAAGGTTTCAAATCAATGTGAAGTAGGTTCAAAACTTAACATACACAAATTGCCACATCGTGATTAGAATTGTTAACCTAACTTCTATTCCATATGGCTCTGTAATATCAAGGTAATGTTTATTCATTTATTTCCTAAAATCATAAAAATGTGACTTTTTTCGTCATTTCGTTGTCTTTTGTTGGCTTAAACTGGATAAAATCAGCTATACTGTAATAATTCTCGGGGATTCTTTTTCTCATTATGTCGTTTAATCTGTTTTACCTAGCGGCTGAAGAAAAATATTGAAATTAATCATTAGACCAAGTGTAATATAACATTTCTTATCCAATATTTCTAAGTCATGTATGATTATCCATTTGGCGCCATACTATTTGGATAAAGCGACCTTATTCAAAGCTGATTAGGTTATAAATGTCAATATCCTTGTGAATACTGTGTACAAAGAAATAGATCAAATGCAAATGTATTCTGGAGTTTTTCTGTAATTCTTACCTTTTGCTGGATGTGCTCTGCTCACAAGGCTTTTATGTTGATACAATAATGTACCTGAAAGATATACACATGTATGAATGAGATATAGATATAGTGCCATTTTTATTTGAAATATGATTTCGACGTGGCAACGTTGATTATCTGTAGTGTTGCCATGTAGTGGGTATTTAAATGACGAATGATGGCCTTCTGATATTTCATTACAACCAATAAAGTAAAAGGTACCATTATAAAACTAAAGTATTGTTAATTAAAAGTATCACATGACATTGAATTATAATATCCTCATTATTATTGTACTATGAATTATTCTTACTATCGAATTTGTAGTGTAATGCGTATAATGATGAAAACATTGATTGAATGGAATAAGAAGCAAAAAAAAAATAACGACGTAGACTTCATGAAAAGAGTTGATATAAACAAGTATGAAAAATTTAAAAATGTTATCCTTAAATCTTATTTGAAGGGTTATTTGAAATAATATCATTTCCATTCATGTTGAACCCCTTTTTTTAGTTATATTCGAAAAGATTTTGGAATTTACCCCCCAAAAGTTATAAATATTAATTTTTTTCTTTCATGAATTCTATAGACCGTGAAACCGTTTACAGTCAATAGTTGATACCCTTAAGTGTATTCCGTTTTTCCAAATCTTTCAGTTCGTGTCAAGATTTTTCATTGAGATCTATAGTTTTCCTGTTTGTGAAATAAAACATTCCTCAATATAACGAAATAATCTGCTCAACGTAGTATAATTCTGGATGGTTGATGCTCGCAAGTAGTTAAACTGAAACTCTGAATTAAAGAAATTTAAAACCGTTTACATTGAAAATTAATCAACAGTGGCGTATCTAGCATAAGATGAAACAGGCGTACGCCCCCTCCCCTCCCCCTCCCCTCCCCCTCCCGTTCCCCTCCCGTTCCCCTTCCCCTCCCAATTCTGGACACGTCACAATATTTTCAAGCAGAATAATAGACCATGGAAGTACGGGCAGATAATTTGAAACAAAATGGATAACAGGTAACTTATAAGTTCAACCGGCAAAGCCATATCTAAATCTGAGGCAGGTGTTATTCTTCATTTCATAGCAGATTCACCTTCAGGGCAAGGCTTATGCTGTATCAATCTTACATCCCTTATCATATTCTTAAAATGCTTTACGAGAAGTCATTCTGAACATGTTCTCAAAATTGTACTGCCCCACTTTTTCAAAGGGGGTTGAATGCGTGTATAGAATTTCCTTAGTGCGTGATATAAACGCACTAATGGTTTATTCAAAAGTTTTGCTGCATTTCAAATCTAATTTCATATTTGGTTTCGTTTGGAGATCATCTTTCTTGAATGGCATTTCCGTTTGTTTACGGAAGTAGTTCTGAGACATAAAAAGGGGAGGCACCAGCTATTCATTTACATTTTGCTTATATTGCACATCACTCAAGTGGTATTTTACAGCAAATACTATTTGAATGAAAATCATCTATTTGATAAAATAATTATTAATAATGTGTCTCAGGGGTAATTCAATACGATTTGAAATCTTACACTCATTGCGATGCGTTGGATTCATTCGTTGTGTCGCCATTGTGGTGAGTACATTGACATCCAGTGCTCTTCTCATATTCAAGGAAAGGGTTACAGCAAAAAGTCTGGTTCAACGGCTACTTATGCATGACAAATTATCAGTTTGAATGCTATTTGAATCGCAAACAGTGAGCACATTCCTTCGGAAAGTGAAGCATGATTGCGGGGGCAATTTACCTCCAAATCAAAACAGTCTAGATTGAGTTTCAGTGTAGGAATTTTGGCGTCATGATTAGTGATTATCTTCTGTATTAAGAATCATCTTACATCCCGCTATTCTGCTTGTGGCAAGCTCTACAATCTTCTTCCGCTCTGATACATATTTAGGCATGATGAATGACGATCAGAAAGAAAACGTGAACTCACGAACAAGATAAATAAAATCTAATGGAGTGGAATTGAATATAATAAGATGAACGCATTCAGCTAGAATTAAGCACCCATAGAATTCGATCTGTTCTTATACATTGTTGAAAAATCAATTCAATCAAAGCCCTACTGAATTATGGAAATAATCAAATTGTTGTTCTATATTTAATCCATTCATACATCCTAACGGTTAGATCTGTTCCAACTCTGAGCCGTAGAATTTTGGATGAGATGGCAATGCGCACGGATTGCCTATTTTCAGTTTGTCTTTATTTGTCTTTATTTGTAAATATTTATCTCAAATACTTTTAGTTTAGTCTAATTAAAAAATTATTTACTTTGTGAGAATTTTTTTTTAACTCAATGGATAGAGAATTATCTTACAAATAAATTCATTGGACCTTTATGAAAACAAATACACCTTAAGACCTAAAAAGGGTGATATCAGACAATGTGAACATAATGGGTCATGTTATATAATATCAAAGTGCAACAGATAAATAACTGTCATTTTATCGATGGGAATATAATTTTTCTTATAAAAAGAATTGTTGGTGAATTTAGATATTTCAGATAAACTTTATAGATAATCAAGATGATATGATTTTTTTCTGTTTATAGTTTCTTTTAGTCGAGAGGAGAAGTCATAGTGGGTTAACAAATTTACATTCACCCACATTTGCATCTTTATACGATTCTAACATTAAAGGGATCCGGTAACTTTGTCTTAGATCCTTTAGAAATAATCCTTGATTTAGCTAACGCTGCAATGATAATTATAAACCTTTAGGTCAGTCAGGAACTCCATGACTTTTACAAGCCGATCGCCTGTCTGATTATCAAGATATTAATGATTGGAATTACAAATTTTGAAAACCGTTCGCCCGGACGGTTTTCATAACACTACAGTCTATTGGGGAAAACGAGTATGGTAAAACCGGTCACTCAAAGATTTTTACTTTTTTTGAGGCACTTCTTGATCATTTTGAAGCGCTTTTTTTTTTAGGGCTTCAATATTACACCATATCACAGACACTGGTAACATGTAGGACCGTGTATCTCAGATTTAACATTGTTAAACGATCCCTTTAAGATAAATTAAGTATTTTTCTTCAAGGTATTCCAACATTATGACTTTAAATAATATATTTCCCCTATAATAGTGTATGATAACCCAATCCACACGACTTAATAATCCCTTCTAACAAGCTTAGACTCAAGTGGAACATGAAAACATTCACAATTGAATACTTTAAATCCACACAGGCACACGAGCAATAGGGACTTCATATCTACAGAAGATAACACTGATCTCTGTTCCCCAACTTTTTTAAGAAAAGAGATAGATACGATGAAAATTAAAAAGTAGCTCTCTTATATATATGTTTAGATAGTGATGGAATTTCTCGATGCTGAGTTTAAGCACGGTTTCTTTTTAACAAAATTTAATTTCAAATAGATTTTCAACATAATCATTTTCCATTAAACATTATCAACCTTTTTTAACATAATACCCTGATATCACCCTTAAAACCTTATAAGGCAGTTCCTTTTACCTTGTTTATATAGTTCAATGCATTAATTTGATAATTGAGCCTGGTATAGAGGAGGCACTTTTTTTTTACCAATGTATTGTTTATACAAAAATCAGCCCATAATGATATGAAATAAGAACTTTCTAATTTTTCTAAAGAGTTAAAGAAATTCCCAAGGGGTAACACGTCCACGAAAACAAGAGTAAGATATTTAAAAAAAAAACTGCGTTATGAATGAATGCCTTTGAAGCAATTTTAATTAATAAAGGACATATGCGCTCTAAATGCACGATTCATCAATATCATTGGTAATGAGAATGGTTTCCCTGCGGCAGTCCTTCATACATGAATTCTATTACAATAAGTCAAGAATGTTTATTTGCATAGATAAGGACGGTTACAAGCCATTTATCCTACAGTTCATAATTCCAATGGTTCGTATTTACGAAAATGACATAGAACCCTGCATTACGAACCTTGGTAAAAACGAACTCTATTTCATTTTCAGAATTAGGAACCATATTTCATTTTCGCAATTACGAACCTTCGCATAATGAACCCTATTTCAATTATAGAATTATGAACCTGAGGATCAACACACCTTCGGAATACCGCAACAAAAATTTAATGTTCGGAACTATGAACCGAAAGATGGACGATACTTATTATGGGGAAAATGTGGAAAAAACGATTGCCTTTCTCAAGAATACCTAAAATTTTTATCATTGGATGGTATGGTAATCCGATGACAAGGTTACTTCTGGCTATACGGTGGACATCCTTTGGATCATTCTAATTAGTTCGGTACCAAATTACCTACTTTTTACCCCAAATTAAGACACGAAACGTCACTGCACACCGTGACACATTTTTGCCGTCGATTGAAAGTGTTCCCTCGGATCTAATTTTGACACCTCTGAACAGGGATCGATTTGTAATTGGATTGAAAAGGGAGACATATAAGACATAATCGTGGTAGGTGAGGATGTAAGAGAGGCAAAGGGAGGAGTGAGGTGATTTCTCCTCGAAACCTTATCAGGGTATCTTAATAGGGTGGAAGGATGAAGGAGAAAGCCGTCACTGCGTCGTCCCTTACTCTTAAGGCAGGAGGAATGACCGTGGGCTACAAACAATCGAAACACACCGCCATCAACCGTCATCCCCCCTCTACGCAATCCAGCCCGGCGACCGCCTGACAAATTCGAAACCGGGAACATGTCATTTTACCTCCATCGTAAAAAGGCTTGGGCTGCTAGGAATCACGACATGACGACGGGGCAGGTGTCGGGTTCACATCCGTGCTTCATACTGGCTGAGTGGAGTGCGTGATCCCGCATAACATCGTGGATCGATCACCTCCTCGCGCGATCGATTTGTTGACGTAGTCTCTTCTGTGTTAAAGCATTAAGTTTACTTTGCTCCATTCTATCCTCTTAACAGTTTCTCCCCCTCTCTTTCTCTCTTTTTCTTCTCCCCCTCTCTCCCTCTCGCACACTCTCTCTCACTCTCCCTCCCCCTTTCACTTTCTTTTCACTCCCGTGTGCCCCGTTCTTACTACTACACCCTTCTCATCACTTCCCCCTTTCCTTTGAATGATTGAATTATTTAGGTTATACGTGAGACTTCCTGGGGTGGTGTATCCTGGCCCGTGTTGTTATCCTCATCAAAGAGGTATAAATAGATAAAATCCCGATTAACAATTGTTAATGCAAACCTCTAGATCTTTACAAGATGCCATTAATATTCAAAAAATTAGGTTGAATTCGGGTGTTTGTAATATACAAGTTTAAGAAAGATTGTTTTAATTTATAGCTTTATGATGCTCAACTTACTGGTTTATAATCACTCAAAGTAAAAGCTGATATATAATTGGTCAATGAATGAGTACGAATTTATAATTAAATAAGTTTTTACTCTTTGACTTAGTTCGAGGTCTCCAAGAAACCATTTATGAACCCTACGTCTTTACTAAGAAAACTTGATTTCCTGCCCTTCAACAAAGATAATTTCAAATCCTTTTATTGCCAAGTTGTTTCCATGATAGGGAAGATGTTTAGGCCTTACGTGACAATGAACCAATATCACAACCACAGGTTTGACTCTTCTTTTGAAGTTATTCATGATCGAGGCAGTTTTAAACTTGCTTGTTAATAGTGGAAGAAAAATCTAACAAAACGGAACGTGGTCGCCGACATTTCCCAGCCGATTATGATCAAATGACCTTGGAACACGATTCGTCATTTCGATTGCGGATTCCCTTATAAATTGCACCAATCGATTCAGTTAAGACAATTGAATAGCCCACACGGTGGTTATCAATAGCATTGTTTGTATTTTGTTTGCACTTACTTTTTTTTTAAACAACATCATGCTAGCGTAATGCTTCAGAAGCCGTAACTTTACTGACGCAGTTTTACGTCAGATAGATAACGCCCTCTGTGCCACGGGACGCGCTAAACAGAAATTTACCACTTATATTTCCATTGTTTGGAGGAGCCCACGTCGACAAAAATAACTAAAAAATACCTAAATTATAAACAATCTGCCCACATACCACACAACATGAATGCTGAATAACATAATATACTTTGGGACGCTTAACTGTATTACGAAACCTTAAGGGGATCACATGTAATACATGTAATTATTTTAAATTTAATTTTCCAGGCATCATGTGGAAAAGCCCACGTGACAGTGATATATAAGATCTTTTTTAGGCATAGGGATTTAGCAAATTGCTTATAATCACTTTATTTTTGATGAAGCCTTCAGTGAGAAAAATCTCTCAAGATGCTATTGATCTAAATTGATGATTTATTGCATTAAATACACATGTAAAATGAATTGCTCAGAGTTATCAGTTGTCAATAATATTCTAAGATCCTCCTGAGAGAATAAATACTTTTAAATGCTACTCTAAACAATATGTATCGTACAATTTCTACTTTTTATCAAAGAAAAATTCTAAAACGATTTGCTTGGAATCTACCAGTCATTAATCCTAATTTCTCCCTGAGAGAATAAAAAAACATAACAATGTTTCTTTTTACATAATCCTATTCATGTACATGTACAAGTGATATTTTTAATTTAAAATGTATTAAATTCCTTACATTTCAAACTGTGGTACTATTTTGCCTGTATGATATATGCTCCTCTTGAATCTTTTTAATTTGATTAAAATCATTTAGGCAAGGGCCTATCTCCCCGTTTTGTTTTGGAACCATTTATTCACCTTTTATGAATCAAAAGCCTAAGACACGCTAAGCGTACGACCAGTTGCCGTTTTTTGGGGGGAAAATCTATCCAACTACATCTTGGGGGAATTATAAAGTGGAGGGACTTTCTCCAAATGAGTAGCACATACAAATAAACAGATAAGACTTTTTTTATATTGTTGGACTGACAATCGTTTTTTTTACCAGTCTGCTGCAGCCAGAAAAAATATACAGTTAATGTTATAAAAAAAACATCACAGAATAATGTTATCTAAGTAGATCTAGAAATAGTAGAAGCAAGGATTGATTTTCATCGTTTTCCTTTTTATTTCGTTCTTTTCGTTCTATCGAAAAAAGCATCAAATGAACCGAAATTATAAACCGGCAGGACAGAGGGAACAATGTCATGTTCAAAACATATAAAGTTAAATTCCGTACAGGTTCTCCGTGTTTGGAGAATATTCGAAGATTAATCGGCGACTGATCGTACACCATTCGTCAATCAGCTGCCGACCTATTCTCACCCATTATAATATATCGCCCGGTAATACTCGGCAAGCACTCAAAATCTGTGGGCGACCTTTCGGCGATGAATTCGAGAACGGCTACCCATGAAGAGAAGAAACCAATGTCCACTACCAGTTTGGTAGGTAAAAGGTTTTATATGCAGCAACATAAACCTCCAGCCGACCAAAATGCTCCGAAAACAAACCGCCGACCACGGAAAACTTAACCAAAAACTGTCAAAAAACTCTCTGCGATCTCTGACAACTTACTCCTGACCGGTAATTTTCAGAAGTCGGCGACTGGTCGTAGCTCTGTGACTTAGGCTTAAAGGGCAAGTCCACTCCAAAAATAACTTACTTTCAATAGAAGCAGAAAAAATCAGACAAACCAATCAAAAAAAGTTTGAGCAAAATCAGGTAACCAATAAGAAAGTTATGAATTTTTAATGACATGAAAACTTTGAAAATCACAAGACAAATTAGCAACCCACTCACATGTCTGTGACGTCATTGCCTCACTATCCACTAATTATTTTCTTTATATTGATAACATACATTTCCACTTATCGCCCTAAAGATCTTATTTACTCACACCAGCATCCAAGTTATATTGATAGTATTATGTTTTTGTGTAGATGTACTAATGTAAAGTATTTTTTTCAGTTAAATTATGAAAAATGTCAACTTTAATAAACTATATAAATAAAAATCACTAATTATGAATACACAATAGGCCTATTCAGAAAATAGTTTCAATTCTTCAAAGTTCATAGCAGATTTTGTGAAATATCGTGCACGCTATATGATACAAATCATACAACCTGGGCAAAAGTATGGGCAAATGAATTTTTGGGGAATAAAAAGGGAAATTAATGGGATACAACTATGTAAAACAGTTGATAAATAGTGAGGCAATAACGTTACAAAACTGAAAACCAAATTGCAATTTGTGTAGTGATTTTCTAAGTTTCATCGTTTTTCAAACTTTAAAAAAAAAATCATAACTTCCTTATTATTTTTTCGATTTTCCTCAAACTTTGTTTGTTATGTTTTTGTTGTTTTTCTGCCTCTATTGAAAGCAGATCATTTTTGGAGTGAACTTCGCCTCAAATTGATTTTAATGTAAATGTGGAAAAACCGAAGTTAAAACTTCAAACAGGGATGGTACAGACCATACGATGCGTATGGATAAGGAAGACGCAATTCGGCATGTCCACGTTCTTACAATTCCTGAAAATTATGCAAACTTTCAGTTTACCTTTCATGATCAGTATAAGTCTCTTCGACGATGGAGCATGAATAACTGTTTTCACATTTATAAATAAATTTAAAAACACGCAAAGTTTGGTTAACTTTTATTACATTTGGGTAATATTTATATAATAACTTGCACCATATATAATATCACTATAAACGTACACTATTCGTTTTACAGAACAAATTTTCAAACCCACTACAACAATTTTCGATCACATAAAGAATTGATTTTTACCATAAATACACCGAAAATAAAACTTTATATCCCCACTTCAAAAGGATGTCAGGACGAATCGGTTAAAATGTAGGTACAACATGAAGATGAATGGGGGGGGGGGTGCAACAAATTGTAGTATTTTGTTATGCCAATTATATCTGTATTTTTGTGCTTGACCAATAAATTAAACTTCATTGAACTAAACTGAATTAAACCTAAGAGGGAAGCTATAACAATAACAACAAATATTAAAAAGAATAATGACTAATTTTGGTAGCTAAAAGGAATATAGAATAAAACTCCTATTAAAGATTGTTCCATTTGTACCGAAAGACACATTTTCCAGATATGTTGATGTTCTATCAATGATGTTCGGTGAAAGTTACTGTAAATATCTAAAAATAAAAATCGTATTATTTTCATTTCTCTTTTATTTGATATTACACATTATGAGGTGTTTTTAGAATTCACTACGGCTGAGGGTTATTTATTTTGCTATATATCGACTTAAATCATATGCATCTAACTGAAGATTTTGAAACATAGCTTTAAATTGTGAAGACAACGTTAACCATATATATTTTAATATTTAATACATGGAAATATCAATGCAATGCATGTAATTGTATAAATAAATTAATGACATAATCTTACGCTTTATTGCATATAGAATAGAATAGACATTTATGTTTTCAACAAATATTCATATACACGTAGTTTTGTATCATCATTTCTTTACTAACGATGTAAACAGATATGTACATTCGATTTCTATAATATATATAGTACAGTATTCTCTTGATATCATTATAATCCTTGATGATTTAATAAATAATTTCTCTGTTCAATATATAAAACATTATTCTTAATATTCCATACTCATAATATATGATTACGACAAGATCAAAGACGCATCGATCGTCTTGTATGCTAAATGACAAAACAAGTTTAACAAACGATTCAAATAAAGAAAATTTCATTGCACAGTGAACTTCTTCTTGGACACATTTTTGGGGTAACATTGTAATGTGACAAATAATTTATCTTGACAAGATACAAATAACTGGAAAAATAGTTATTGAAATGAATGTAATTCAGCTACACCATCCTGTTGTACTTTAATGATGCTAAGCGTCAAAGGGATGTAACAAATAGAAGAAACGAAATGTTAATAATAATAGAGAAATATCAATCCCTATCCTCTGTAACGCACAAACAATAACAAAAACGATCTGATATTGCTTTAATGCTAGAAACTATGATTATAATGTATCATATCGATCAAAGGACACCCTTGTCTTTCCATCCTTCCACAAGAGTTATGCCTTTCATCTATCCATTCATCATAAGTAGACAAATTATAATATTTGGAAAGATTTGCAGGTATGTTCAGAAAATACTTCTTAAACCTGTAGTTAATAAAACAAATTAATATAATAAACCTTTGGGTTTTTCGTATTATTATTCCTTATTTTATACTATCGTTAACCACGGGAAGATTATTCTTGCCGTCATTGTTTACATTTTTAAGGAATTATATTTCATTCGATAATATTTGCTAATAGGCCTATACGCCGTTAGCATTTGTCATACAAAGTCTGAAATCTTCTTCTTCTTCTTCAAAAATAATCTGCCTCCTTCACTGCTGAAAGTTCTTGCAGATGTGTGCGAGTGCATGTGTGTGGCGACATGGGGATGTCCAGGTGTGCAGGTGAGAGGTGTTATATACATAGTGCCAGGAATGTTAAGGTTAAATGTTAAGGTTAATAAAATAATTGACTATCTGCACAATCTTTAAAGCGTAAAATCAACAGTTACAGCTCGTTTATTGTTCTTCCCGAGGTTCTATTCCGAGAATTCGTTTATCCGAAAAGTTAATACTCGGGGTTCCTAATTCCTAAAATTGAATCGGGTTCGTAATTTTGAGAATTGAACAGTATTCGTAATTCCGAAAATGTAGTTAGGTTCAGAATTCCCAAAATGTTTTAGGGTTCATCATACTGAAAAATGGAAAATGATTTTATAAATGTACTTTCAGAATATTACCCTATATGGACACAATAAAGAAATGACATGAAATGAAATTAAATGAGTCCTTTTCCCTTAAAAAAAACACATTACAAACCGTTGGAATCACGAGGCTTTAGAATCACAAAGCTTTAAATTGCAAACGCCTGGCATTATCAGCCCTTGGAATCATACACGTTTGGAATTATGAACCTTCGGAGTAACGAGCATCGATCACAGTATAACAACGTATTCATGTCTCATTAAGCGTCCCAGGTCAATGGTTTTCCCAGTCGTTCAATCTCGTCCAGCATGAAATCGATGTCTGCTTTTGTAGATGCTGTGTTATTGACGATCATCCTGAAGAAGTTGACCTTACTGCCCAGCGGCTGGTAGCCCACCATCACCGTCCCCTTGTTCATCATCATTGCCTTGATCTCTGGGGCAACCTATCCAACAAATATGAATATTGATGAGGATACGGGGGATATCAAACTGATCATTATATGATTACTTTAAGGAATTGAGTGACACGTATGATTGTTTGAAATAGGGGAAATGAAACTTAAAGGGAATTGGTGGAATACAGTCATTTTTTGTGTAAACTGTGCTTGAAACGTTTATAATTAAAATAAGATGTTTGGTACAAACTTCACCCGTGTATGAATATTTAGCGGACGAATGTTTTAGAAATATATATATATTGAATGAAGCTCTAATAAATGGCAAGAAAAGAATTGTAAGTAAAAAGAATCATATACTCTTTATGTACAGATAACAGATAGGTATCATTCTTCTCCTAATATAGCTTCATTATTACTAGAGTATGTCACCTTGTGAAGTTTGAGCTGTTTTTCCTGACAGTTCTCCATCTCACGTAGAGAAGGTGGGTAGTACCAAAAACATACGTTGGTTAACTCCGGCTGCAAAGAAATAATGAAAAACAGATTTAAAATCACTTTTTTACTTACCGGATAATCGCATCCTTCAGTATTTCTTGTCGTGTTGTTCAGTGGCATAATTATCCAGATCCTCGATTTATGAGGGACAAAGCATCTTAGCTTACTGTGATCCATATACATGTACAGTTTTGAAACGTTTTGAGAAAAAGGTGGGGGGATTGGGGTAATATCTCCCAAAATGACTGGGTTTTTGTGAATGTGTCTATACTACGCACGATTCCATGTACACAATGACAATTGTTAACTTATGTTATATCAATTATGGTAACAATGATAATAGCAAAAACAATATTAATAATAATATGCTTGCGGTTGCGTTTGTTTCTAATCAGGTTTTGCACTGAATGTACCCACCTTGTCATACACTAGTTCGAAGCCTTCTTTTGCCTTGATCCTGTCCACTAGGTATCTATGGAGATTGATTAAGGAGTATAGAAAATAGACATATTGAGACGAGGGGAAACATTAAAAATATATAAATTGATAACATTTGAAATACTGTTAAAATCGATTAGGAGAGAGGTATAAAATGAGACAGGGAGAAGCAGAGAAGAAATGACAAAATAGGATAGGCGAAGAAAGGGAATGAGAAGGAGAGTGGAATTGAGAATATGGTAATCCTTAGAATCAGACTTAAAGTTTCTTGGTAAAATCTGCATAATATATACCCTTAGATAAAATGGACTTTAGGCAAATGGCCTGTTTTTACTCGAGACACCTCGATCACCTTTTCTCTAAAATATCATAAATCCGTAGAAAATCGTTCGTTAGTTATTATCAAAGAAATGCAGTTTTGGTTCTTAAAATTTGACACCGTCATTTTAACTGACAATTACCGTTTCCTTGGTATTCTTTGAGTTTTAGCAAAAGCTGGCAGACGCTGGCAAAACATCCCAAAAGCGTTTAGACGTTTGTAGAACGTCCTGTACGCCTCGATAACGTTATGTGTTCGTTTGGTTTTTAATTAATTTCCTGATAAACACTACTTTTACGATGTAAAAACAACGTTATCGTTTGAAATGTTTAACTATCTCATAGACTTCCATCTGTATCCAACAAATAATAGATACAGCGACATGGTTTCCTGGAAAGGGAAAACCCAACCTTTAAACAAATTGAATTTTTTCCTTAATCTTATCTCCATTTGCTAGCCTATATACTTACTGAGCTAAATCGAAGAGTTTGTTGATCTGGGCCTCGTAACCCCTCGTTCCCTGTAAGAAGAAAACAAGTTAAAACATTTCATAATGCAAAGATATTATCTCAGCCTTTCCCTGTTTTTATAAATTTGTATAACGAAATACATAAATCACTTCCACCTAGACAAATTATAATGAAGTTTAAGTAGACATCAACGACAACATGGCACCCACTACGACACACTGACTGCGATAAGTAGACTTAACTTACACCTTTGGCTGAGAATAAAGGTTCAACATCGATACAAATGTGGGTAGAATTATGAAGCGCTAGTCAACAACGTCTTTATTCCGTAAGACTTGTTTAAATTAAATGGAACGAGCGAATTAGGTAGAGACAGAAAGAGAGAGAGAGAGAGAGAGAAAGAAAGAGGGAGAGAGACAGAGAGAGAGAAGAGAAAAGATATATATAGAGAAAAGGAATGAGAGAGAGAGAGAGAAGATATAGAAAGGGAATGTGAGAGAGAGAGAAAGAAAGAGGGAGAGAGACAGAGAGAGAGAAGAGAAAAGATATATAGAGAGAAAAGGAATGAGAGAGAGAGAGAGAGAGAGAGAAAGAGAGAGAGAGAGAGAGATAGGAAGGTAGAGAGAGAAAGGGAGGAGGAGAGGAAATGAACAGGTGAATATAAAGATGACACGACTCCCAAAACACCCACTTACCACAGACAGACATTTCATAACCCACATATTTATACCTCCAGCTTGTTGACTCTCTCTAAGTACAAATTGTAAGTCTCATAAAAATCTAGACAATAATTACGATGTGTATAATTTGATTATTTTTTGTGATTTTCATTTGTTTTCTTCCAAATACTTATTAGTAGCTATTTAAATTTGTTTTTATTTGTTGACATTGTGGTAACTTTACTTGTTTTTTAACAGTGCGCACAGACTCGCTGAAAAGCAGCCTGTTTTTAATTTTTGTGAATTTTTACCGTACATAATTAAAAACAATACAATTCAATAAATTCTTTCATAGGTAGTTCGTCAAAAGTTTTCGAGTTAAAGAACATGAAATGCAAAGGAAAAGATTATAAAGTTGGTGTTAGACGCAGGTCTAATTATATCCACACTGAGGTCTTGGTCTACGATCTTTGCATCTCAAATCAAGAAACTCGAATAAGACATCCCTACACCTCTTCCAGAATAATATACAGGATATTATCTAACCAATAGAAAGTTGCCAAATGCCAAATGCTTCTAATTGGCCTTATACAATATGCAAATTATGCGCATTAGAATACGAGAATCAGAACTGGATTACATTGTGGAAATTGGATATCCGTGGATTGGTTATAAATCCCCAAAGAGTCTCCGGAAAAGAAAAACAATAGGATTTTATTATATTGCTGATATTGGTTCATAAAGATCAAAGATCTTCCGACTTCTCTCCACCCATGCACCCCCACGTGAAATTGTCTACGTAAACTTCGATGAAAATGATTATTATAATAATTTGGAACGAAATTGGAATAAATATGTAAATTCCGAATCTGAGAAGAAAAAAAAATCCCCTTTTCAGAAGAGGCAAAATATGGAGACGATGTCTGTCTAAATGTTAAAAAAATGCATAAAATTCATCAAAAGGCTTCTTAAAAGTCTCAGTACTTCCACTATATAAATCTTCTTCTTTTTCTAGGACCTACGTCCGCTCGAGTAAAATAGATAACTCCTCGAATCCAAAAGAGATGTAAGTGTTGCTGTTGTCGGCAATCAGACAGTGGCATACGCTATACTTGTTAAATCATTAATCTTTTCTCCGTGTAAATCTTCTTATGTTTTTCAACAGAACTCGCTTCAACAAATGTTGGTTCTCCACTATAACCTAGCTATAAATTTAGAATAGAGTGAACAAGTTCAAGTTAGTGGTGACTCTTTCTCACGAGTTGCTTTCCGATTCTGATTTCAAGATGTTTGCGTGAATTTTTCGTATATTTCCCGTCTGCATATCGCTTCAAACTTTAGTTAGTCATCATGCAGAACGAAATTATTTTAGCTAAACGTGACATTATCATATTTTCATCGATTCCTTCTTCTTTTCTCTATTAATAAAACTGTAGACATGCTATGAAACGTCTCAGATATCATTCGGTAATTTGTTCAATAGCCATTGAAAGTGTGAAAGTGTGATGGGGGAGGGCCAGGGGGGGGGGGCACATTTTCCTCAAATTTCCCAAACCCCTTTTAACAAGTGTACCAAAACGCGTTCAATATCACCGATTAGACGTAGGAATACGCGAAGGGAATAATGGAAAAAGAAATGTGATACGCCTTTTTTTAAAGACTGATCAATAAATGAGAAGGGAAACAGAACCACATTAAAAGCAAATCTAACATACTTTCAAACCCTCCAAGATACATAAGAAATAATACATTTATTTACCGTTTCACTGAAAAGATAATAAAACAGATCGAATGCTGGTCATTACCATCAATTCCTCGTGTATTAGTATATTAGGGAAAACTCATTAAAAAAAAAGAAGTGTCACAATAGTTATGAACCGAAATGTTGGGAAGGTGCCGGAATGCACCCTACGTATCCTACGTCAGACATAATGGCGCCCTGTGTGCAGCAGGGTTTAGTTACCTTTGACCTCCATGTCAGCCAGAGTTTGAAGACATCCACGTGACGCCCACATTGTATGGTCTTATCTCCTGTGTCGAACGATACATCGTAGTGCTTGTCCTGTTGGAACAGGTAGGGGGCGCGCATCGAGTTACAGTCCTCCAACAGACCCTAAACGAAATACAGTCACGTTTTGAAATATGTATTCATAATCGGGAAAAATATCTTTAAAAGCAAAGCAGTGCTAACCATGAAAATTGAATATTATAAACAGATATATGTATCTTTGTATAATTATGTAAACATGGTAGTAGTAAAAATTGCAATATAATACTGACAAACAAACAGGAGTACATATTTCATGGGTTGGTGATCCGAAATAGGCCTATGTTACATTTGCTCAGGATGGATATGTAGGGTTGGGGTAAGGGTTGTAATTATGATTCAGGTTGAATCTAGGGATCGGTTTGGCTACCTATGGGTTGCCATGAACCGAAAAAATGGTCCGATGACCTCTGCTCCAGGCTACAATATAGTATCAGGTTTAGGGGTGCAAGTTGGGTATAAAGTTAGATTTAAAGTTAGGTATAGCTTTAGGTCCTGAATTTAAATTTGGTAATTATGATAACAATTGACCGTGAAGCAGTTGTTGCCAGAATGTGTGAAGAAGAACTTATTTATAACATACAATATAAAGGTTGCATGCAAGGACATTGCTTAAGGTTTACTCTTTTATTTTGCCCATGTTAAATTCATCTGTAACGATTTTATTTCTTAAATTTTATTTTCATTTCCACAACGAAAACCATACAGTCCATGGTTTCTACGATACAGTTATAATCATCCTAAAACGTTGTAAACATGATGAAAAAATTGTACTGCACTAAAAATCTGCAATACAATGGTAACTCTTTTTTTTGTATATGCCCTTGTTCAATTTTGTATATGCCCTTGTTTATATTTTATCAATAAATCTGAATGATTGATTTATTATGCATTTGATTTGAAATAGTTTTTTTCTTGTAGATCAGGATGCTCCATATGGACTATGACAAGTGCATCATTATTCTTTTTAACTGATGAATGCCGAGTTCTTACTTTTATAAATAGAATGCTGAGTCTGACTTTATTGTTTGAGTACCCCCTCCCCCACACCCATATAATATAATAATGCCAGGAATTCTTACCGTGAAGTTCAAAAGAGCCGAAAACGAAACGACATCAGAAAAACAAATTACAAACCCATTTTGCAATTAATTTGGTAGTCACCCACACAAAGCACACGGTGTATATCTGAAGAGCACTGAATTACACACGTAATGCCCCATAAAAATGCAAATATCATTGTCATTTGTACTGTTCCCACTGCGTGTGGATAAAAAATAATATTACTAAATACAATTTTGAAAAAACTTTATAATTTGTTGCAAACTTGTCAATATTGTTCATTTTCACACGCATTTCTGATAATTCGGTGCATACAGAGTCCTATATTTGTTCATTGTTTGTTTTAAGGGAGCAATGTTACTTATATCATCGTTCTGGGGCCATCAAATTTGATTCTAGCCCTTCAAAAGAAACCATTTGATTGACCGATTTGCTAACATATTTAAATTTATGGATTTTTCTTTCCTAGTGAGGAGCTATTACATTAACCTGTCATTAATAAATTACAATACTTGGAATCCAGTCAGCATAAATTTCTTGTTCATATGTCGGGCAAGCCATGGGCAAGCTATAAAAATTGCATACATTAATTGTCGCTAGGTTGGACAAACATTATGGCTCGCCCGGGGCTCGCCTTAGCTAACATCAGGTATCCGTGATGTACGGAACATTTTAAAGCAGTTATATTTATTAGCTTCTTAGTTGCTGTTCCTATATCGGTATGAACATGTCGTTACATTTTGGGGACTCATCTACTTCCCCTCACTTTTAAAACCATTTTCTACCAGGCCTAAAATGCTTTTTTCTTTTATCGCCTTATGAAATTAAGATTTTTAATCGTCGTTACGGCCAGCAAGTGAATATGCGAGGCCTGGTGGCCAAGTGGTAAGGCGTCTGTCTCGTAAACAGAAGATCGAGAGTTCGAACCCCTCCCAGGCCTAAGATTCTTTTTCATTCATTTTATCCCCTACTGGAATTAGGATTTTTAATCGTCGTTAAGACCAGCAAGGAAAACATGCGAGGCCTGGTGGCCAAGTGGTAAGGCGTCTGTCTCGTAAACAGAAGATCGAGAGTTCGAACCCCTCCCAGGCCTAAAATCTTTTTTTATTTTTTTTATCGCCTACTGAAATTAGGATTTTTAATCGTCGTTACGGCATGCAAGTAAATATGCGAGGCCTAGTGGCCAAGTGCTAATGGGTCTGTCTCGTAAACAGAAGATCGAGAGTACGAACCCCTCCCATGCCTAAGATTCTTTTTCATTCATTTTATCGCCTACTGGATTAGGATTTTTAATCGTCGTTAAGACCAGCAAGGAAAACATGCAAGGCCTGGTGGCCAAGTGGTAAGGCGTCTGTCTCGTAAACAGAAGATCGAGAGTTCGAACCCCTCCCAGGCCTAAGATTCTTTTTCATTCATTTTATCCCCTACTGGAATTAGGATTTTTAATCGTCGTTAAGACCAGCAAGGAAAACATGCAAGGCCTGGTGGCCAAGTGGTAAGGCGTCTGTCTCGTAAACAGAAGATCGAGAGTTCGAACCCCTCCCAGGCCTAAGATTCTTTTTTTTTTTTTTTTATCGCCTACTAAAATTAGGATTTTTAATCGTCGTTACGGCATGCAAGTAAATATGCGAGGCCTAGTGGCCAAGTGCTAATGGGTCTGTCTCGTAAACAGAAGATCGAGAGTACGAACCCCTCCCATGCCTAAGATTCTTTTTCATTCATTTTATCGCCTACTGGATTAGGATTTTTAATCGTCGTTAAGACCAGCAAGGAAAACATGCAAGGCCTGGTGGCCAAGTGGTAAGGCGTCTGTCTCGTAAACAGAAGATCGAGAGTTCGAACCCCTCCCAGGCCTAAGATTCTTTTTCATTCATTTTATCCCCTACTGGAATTAGGATTTTTAATCGTCGTTAAGACCAGCAAGGAAAACATGCAAGGCCTGGTGGCCAAGTGGTAAGGCGTCTGTCTCGTAAACAGAAGATCGAGAGTTCGAACCCCTCCCAGGCCTAAGATTCTTTTTCATTCATTTCATCGCCTACTGGAATTAGGATTTTTAATCGTCGTTAAGGCCAGCAAGTAAATATGCGAGGCCTGATGGCCAAGTGGTAAGGCGTCTGTCTCGTAATCAGAAGATCGAGAGTTCAAACCCCTCCCAGGCCTAAGATTCTTTTTAATTCATTTTATCGCCTACTGGAATTAGGATTTTTAATCGTCCTTAAAGGTATTACAAAGTTTTGGGAAATTTTGAAAAATGGGTGGATAGTGATTCTTTACAATTTTAATATATTTGGCTGCCCCTGTGGATGTATTAAAAACACCAAACATTTTAGCCCCTAAAACACTTCTGCTTTCGAGAAAAATTTAATATAAAGATTTACCGGTGCTCCGGTAAATTTTGATAAATTTCAAATAGCTCCTACGGCCGTACAATAGTAGCTGCGACCATGAAAATCTCAGAGTATGTAGTTGTGGTATATAATTTCCGAACAAGAATAGCTAATCAGTCAATTTTAGTCAATAAACATTGTTTTATAGCTTAATTAATATCTTGACCTTGAGAGGGAGCTATTCAACATAAAGTGTTTATTATTTACAATTTCATAACTTTAGAGTCGATTTCGACCGCGACAACGATCACTGAATATTTTAGGATCGTATATGCTTCCACTATGTTCATTTGAACCAAATTCATGACCCCATACCAAAACTTTGTATTACCTTTAAGGCCAGCAAGAAAATATGTGAGGCCTGGTGGCCAAGTGGTAAGGCGTCTGTCTCGTAAACTGAAGATCGAGAGTACGAACCCCTCCCATGCCTAAGATTCTTTTTCATTCATTTTATCGCCTACTGGATTAGGATTTTTAATCGTCGTTAAGACCAGCAAGGAAAACATGCAAGGCCTGATGGCCAAGTGGTAAGGCGTCTGTCTCGTAAACAGAAGATCGAGAGTTCGAACTCTCCCAGGCCTTAGATTCTTTTTCATTCATTTTATCCCCTACTGGAATTAGGATTTTTTATCGTCGTTAAGACCAGCAATGAAAACATGCAAGGCCTGGTGGCCAAGTGGTAAGGCGTCTGTCTCGTAAACAGAAGATCGAGAGTTCGAACCCCTCCCAGGCCTAATGTTCTTTTTCATTCATTTTATCCCCTACTGGAATTAGGATTATTAATCGTCGTTATAAAGACCAGCAAGGAAAACATGCGAGACCTGGTGGCCAAGTGGTAAGGCGTCTGTCTCGTAAACAGAAGATCGAGAATTCGAACCCCTTTCATGCCTAAGATGCTATTTCATTTTTTAGAATTTGTGATCATCGTGACGGACAGCGAAGAAACATGCGATTGATTGAATTGAAATAATGATCGTAAGGACCTTTAATCATTAACTTGACCAATGACCCTTCCTTCTTTTTTTTTAAGCTCAATTCAACTTTCGGTTGAAAAAAAATACTCAATTCATTTAAAATCAAACAATTTCAACTGAAATAGTACGGTTCTGAACCTTAACTAATCCTTTATTGAAATAATTCACTAAGAATGCTTTCATATAGATAAGTTAAGACTCGTTCAGATAAGAAGAGTGAAATGGCAGCGTTTTTTTTCTTTATTTGAACTTCTTTTTTTTTTAACATTGTGTAAATTAATGGCAATAACCGGTAACAAAAAATAAAGAAATAAGAGGCATTGTATTCTTACTTCATCTGTAAAAAAAGAAAAAACAAGGGCGGTTTACAGCGTCAAATCTGAAAGAGGCTTTAATACAGGTTATTACCCGCGTTTTTTAAACGCGGGAAGAGGAAGTTATCTAGAGAATTACAGAAAAACTTACGTCTTCTTTGAAAAGTACAGCAGCACATTGGAGAGTGATTCCCATCATCTTATGAGGGTTCCATGTCACAGAATCAGCTCTGTCAATATTAAGTTCAAGTTAAAGTTCACTCATTTCATATTCATTGAAAAGACAGGATAAAAAAAATCAAAAGCATACAAATTCTGTTAATGAATAACATTTGGAACTTTATGTAGGTCTATGTACCTTTGCAAGCCTAAAATACGATGTTTCTAAAGACAGCGTTAAGTATCCCTTGAGATATCCCCGGAAACAAGTTTGAACTGTAAACTGTCTCTTTGAGTCATCACAATAATATTATTGACCGAGATTATCATAATTATGATTATTGAATGTTTAGAGTAACTCGTAATATGAACGATGCAAAAGGGAATGAACTTCCTTTCCTTAAAATTAAAACCTCCTCCTGTTTTGTATTGCCACAGTTTAAACAGATTTCTTCTGGTAGAGGAAATTATTGTTGTTGTTTCGTTTCTCTGTTTGTATAGGTGCACGGTTATCCGGGGAATCTGTTATGGCAGAATTTTAGACAAACATTACTACTTTAAAATCTCGATACCATGCTATTTTACTTTATGTTAAGAATAGATGTGGGGACATAGCCTCCATTTGTTTAAATATTCTTAAAAAGGAAACGACAAAGTATAATTGAAAATTAAATGAAATGTCTCCTCTGCTTTCACGACATACCTGCTCACGCCATCCACCTTATGGCGGTGTTTCCGAGATAGAAGCGCGCCCCCTCCCCAAGCAGCCTGGATTCATAAAAAAGTAATTAAGTAGAAAGAAATCAGTACAACAAAAACTTATAAAAAGATAACAGATACCCAATTTAAAGCCGCTTGAATTTACAACATGGATAAAACTTGAAGAGGAATAAATTACTTACATGATAAAGTTCTTTCAAACATAGAAATAATAAATGGAGAATCTTCCCCACACTGCTTGAACATTAACATTATAATATTGTACGAAATTTGAATTTATCGGATTCTAATAAAGGCTAGATAAAAATGTATAAAGTCATATTCCGGTAAAAAATATGATATAAATTGCAAATATTCCAGGTGGAAAAGAATATGAATATTAAATAAAAATCTTAGGATTGGGAATACCTAAATGAAAAGAATTCAAATTTTCATAAATAGTTATAGGATAACAATGTTTGAGAAAATGTTAGGTGATAAACAATTAATCAAATAAATGATTAAAGAAAGACACAGGCCTTTTGGTGATGGTCCATTGATAAGATTAAAAAGGTATTTGTATTTTTCAAATCAATCGTCTTTCCTTCGATCTGTAAACACAAAGTTGGCCAACTTGAGAGAAGCACTGCCGCCCTCTTCGATCGACTAAAATATTTGTCTATGGTATGAACAATTATTGATACTCACATCTACATGCATCCACAGGTTGTATTTTGAGCAGATATCGGCTATTTTGTTGATAGGGTCGTAAGCTCCAACAACAGTTGTCCCAGCAGTTGCGTTGACGAAGAACGGTTTTTCACCCTGATGATAAAAATAATATCTTCAAAATCATATCATACATGTATCATAATGTATCCATTCGTGCATATTGTAATCCATAACAACTAGGGAATTACACTTATTTCCCCCATGTCCTAGGATATCTAATCCAGAAAGCACTAGGTTGCGATAGAATAACAAAAAGTGTACAGCCTTGCTCTCATTTTTATTTAAAATCGATAAAACCTTTCTTCAGAACGGAGTATGTGAAAATTAACCTTTTTAAATTCATGCCTGAGTTGATTTCTCGAGAGAAAAAAATGCGATTGTATTCATATGAAAATGTCACTCCAAAAACTGAGGTGAAATAATTTCTCTCTCTTACTAACTGTTTTCTCACAGCAGAAACTTCTTTTCTAGTGTAGCAAATTGCAATCTAACATTTATTCTGCTAAGTTTAACACTGATCTCTTGGGAATTCTATCTTCTATCTTCAATAGAAATAACTCACCCTTCCAATGGCTTGCTGAACTTTGTTTTCTAGATCATCTGCACTCATCTTCCCCCTAAAAAAAACATTTGGAATAATTTCAAAATATTTTCAAATAAGCAAGTCAGATAAGGTTAATATTGTCCTGGAAGCTTCCCTGCCCCCCCCCCCCGTATTTCTAAGAATTTAAGAGTAGCCTTCTTTATCTTGAGGTAAGATGGCAATGTTTCATGATGTCTTCTATGTATAAATCTGATCATTCTAAAATATCCCCAAAAGCACTCAAAAGAAAATTTATGTCTGCGTAGTATAACTCTGAAACTAGTAGCTCAATTTATACATTTTGCTGAAATTACACAGTATTCAACCTTATTTTGATACTTGGAAAGTGTCAGTATCTATCTACACCCAGCAATTAAATAGTTGACCTCCTTGGTTGTATGAAGAGTATAATGTAATATTAACAACATGTCGGTTGCCATGGTAACTTACCGGGCGTCTGTTTCAACAAGGATGAGATTATCTGTGCCAATACCTAGAATGGAGGCCGCCCTCTTGATCGAGAAATGACTCTGAAATTTACAAAGATGCCATGAAAGTTTTAAAAAGTTTTAAAAAACATGAAAATGTAGATATTTGTCATTATATCCATTTTTTCTTTATTTATTTTTTCCAAACAAACGTAAACACCTAAGCACGACCAAAGGACTAAGATTCTTTGCGACCGTGTAAATTATTACCCTTCCACATCCTCACCTGTTCCGATGTGAACATGACAAGATTGGGCACACCAAACATTCCACGTCTCTTGCATGCTGGGAAGAACTTGTGCCTGGCTGCTAATACGGCATACAGATTGCAGACAGCGCCTCCTGCAGTAGAATAAACCATACACAATCAAATCGAATTTTTAAAAATAGTTATGAGTTACATAAATTTTCATATGATAATTTTCATTTATAAATGTGATCTGATACTTCCTCAGGTGACGTTTGCACCGGGCTTTATTTGTAAGGGTTGGGGTTGCTATCCGGTTTAATTTAGGTTTAAGGTAGTTGTGTTTGGTCCATGTCTGAAGTTCGTAATTCGGTTATATGGTATATAGGTAATCGACCGAGGAGAAATCATCGCCGGGTCATGTGTTATAAACACCAATTATAAAGATATATTGTTTGAAAATCAGAGAAATACAGTTTTCAAGAAACGGCGCTGTATTCGGGAGGTTCTCACTTTTTCCTATTTGCTCTGATAAAAATGAACCGATAATGAAGCAAATGAAACCCTTTTAAACTATAATGTACTGGTATTTATGATCTATCTACAGTTTTTGTTACCTTTATTCAGGCTCCCTATTTCTAATTAGTCGTTATATTCTTTCTAGGCAGAGTTCAAACATATTCTTTTTTTTAAAACTAAAATTAAACAATATCACAATCTAAGTTTTATATAACCCAATATCTCTTTTCAAGGTCTAAAATGATTGACACTTAATTGTACGTCCCCTTTTTAAACAAAAAGAAAATCTCATTTCCTGCGGATACAATTGTCTTACTCAATCTTTAAATAGGTTTGATTAATTAGTTATCTAATTTACAAACAAAGAACGCAATGAATTACATATTTTGTGTCATGTACCATGCGATATCTTAACTTTGTCATGTACAAATTGATTCTAATAATTATATGTGCATCTCCAGGATGGTGGGATGCATTTGATGAAGTACTCTACTCCCATGGATTGTGGATTGAAAGAAGAGAGAAAAAGTCTGGCAAAATCCCTCTATTGACTCGTTACCAGGGTGATAATTGCCCACATCGTTTCTTTCGTCACGTGGCGATGACTGCATTATCTTGAGTTAAGGTCGAGCCGTCACTTTTCTCTCATTATACGGACGATAATTAATGTCTAGCACGCGTAATCAAGCACCTGGGGGTATTTCACAAAGATTCCAAGTCAAACTTAACTCTAAGTTGGACCTAAAATGTATGGAGAGCCATTTGTAGCCTTAAAATAAAATATATTCAAAAGCATATATTCAAGTATTTTGGACTTTTCATAAATTCCACAGCAAGAACATGAAATCTCCTTGATAATAGAAATTATGAATGATTTGAATCAACATTTTATGCCTTTTAACAGAACTTGTACAAATTGTTTTCAAAGATGCTAACGGCTTTCCATGAATGTTAAGTCCAACTTAGAGATAAGTTCAACTTAGGATCTTTGTGAAACACCCCCTGGAGATGGGAAGGTGATATTATGTAGTCTTAGAGTTCCGGTATATCTCTTTTTAAACGAATAATTTTTAAAGCAATGTCTCTCCTTCCATTATACGGTATCAGGTAAATAACATCATGTTCATGATGGTATAAAAAAATATATTTAATTAGATGATTTGTAATTTGGGTGACATTTGAAGTTTAGATAATGAAAAGTGTATCAAACCATTGTTTCTTTATTTTCTTGTATTTTTAAGTCACCCCTTTCAAACCATTCATACAGCTATGCCGAAAATTTTCCAAATTTTCCCCCCTTGCTCGTAATCGACAGCAACAACATTGGTTTCTTCTTGAAGGGGCTACATTCTATATCTGTATTCTATTTGGGGGTGATCCGACATTATCTTGCTCCCATGACATTTGGTCCCGGTTTATTCGTAGAAGAAATTAGTGGTGGATTGAGATCGGGTCTTAGGTTAGGGTAATGTGTAATGTTGACTAAGGTCCTGGGTTGAAGTAAATAATTTGGTTTATGTAGGAATCGGATATCAAGCGCGACGCGAAATAATCGTTAACGAAGCATGTGTCGTAGATTTGTTTTTACCTGGAGCGAAAATACCGTCGCCATCTTTGTAGCCGACGATTTCCCTCATCTTCTTCAGCGTGGCCCTCTCCATCAGAACGAACACGGGTGCGATCTCGTATGTAAACCTACAAATATCAAAACAAACACAATCAGTTCGAACATCTTTTCATACTCTAATTGTTCTTTCCTGCTGGTTTCAGTATTTCTTGCTATAGGTAATTAGACGAAAAGAAATGATATGAAGACGGAATGATCTTGATCTCGCAGTTAAGTCTGCTTTTGAAATATAATAAAAGCAAATAAAGTCCCTACCTATCAATGATCAAAATGTTCCATATTCCACGGGACGAGGTGTTGCATAACTTGTGAAAACATCATATGAATCTGTTTATATTATGAATGAAAACATAACCATTTCTTTCAAACAGTTTGGGTATTTGTTTGTAAAACTAAATGTTACACAGCACGTCTAAACATTCATAAATGTTGTTGAGAGTACACGAAATCGAAATATAGAGAGGGGGACGCAACAACCCCTTACCACATTGTCATCCTATATGGCATCGCCTTCTCGCATTTCAAATATTTTCGGTCCCGTCAATGGCTCTACTCCCACTGTAATTTTGGAGACCACCACCCCTCTCACGAATACTCATAAAAAAAGGTTTTTTATATTCCTACATTCAAAGAGAATCTAAAGGTGTATATGATTCTAAGGTATATGGGGGAAATAACAACGAAAACCAAGCAAGCCTTAGCATCGCCCACATACTCCTTTCTATTTCTTTTATTGATTTGTTTTAGTTTGTGATTCATCTTTCCTGAACGAATTGACCTCGTGAGTCGACTGTCGTCTTCAAAATACTCCACCACTTAAACCTTAACTCAGAGAACTAGTACCCAGATTATACAATGAGTCTGTAACGTATGACCTACTGTTCGAAGACAAACACTTACGAAAGACCATGCAACTTTAATTTAGGTTTAAACTCAAACTTGAGGCTTCAAATTAAACTTCGTACAATTATAACAGATCACCTTTACTTATCGATTCGCCATTCTCCAACTGAAGTCTTTGATATATGTATTTACACACATTATATATATATAGAGAGAGAGAGAGAGTTGTAATTTTATAGTTGAATTTGGCGGAAATTATTGCTAATGACTGATTAAAAATTAAAAATAATTTCAAATGTATATAATATATGCCACCGTCGCTCTAGGATCAACCAAAGTAATTAGACACTAGAGTCGAGTCAAATCAGAACGTTTAATGTCTGTGTTTGAGTCATACAGCAAAGCTTTCTATAAAACTGAATAAAAGATTAAAGGGGTTTCCGACTACATGTAACTGTATTTTCTCCTCTAAGAGAGCAGTTGCATTGCGTCGACTAGTTTTTATGTACCAACGTACATAAACCTGTTCATATTCCACATAGCAGTTCTATTGTTGATATCTATGCGTCCCCTTTCCCGATAAAAAAAGTATAATCAAGACTAAATCAGAAAAACTGTGTCAGCAAAGCTTTGATGATTTCGACTTTCTTACTGGGTTGAAAACAGCAGGTATTGAGGATTGTGTATTGTTTCTCGGATGAATTGTGACGTTCACATCGTTGAAAGAAGAATGATGCATGACGGGATATAACAAATCTAGTTGTAAGTGAAGCACGTTATGTGTATCCAAGTCTTGAAAATCTTATCTGCAATATTTCATACATATTCCCTCTAACTTCTACATTCCTAGATGAGGGTTATTCGTGTACGCGAATTATGACGTTCGAGCATTTAATGTGACCTGTTTATCACCAGCATCGTGGTCATTTTGTTGGGAGTTATTATGTATCTGAAAATAAAACTGAAAATAAACAATATACAAATACAAATACAAATAAAATGTAGCAATTAGAAAACAAGAATAGATAATAAACTCCCAAATAATTATGTCGGAGTGTTGGATTCTACTAAACGGAGTTTCCCCTCCTTGTGATTGTACTTCACATATAATAATAATAATAATAATAATAGCCTAATAGTCCGTTCCAAATTTTATTAAACCGAAAGGGAAATTCTTTTTGCCCAATTGATCGTGAGCCCGGCAGCCACTGAGCAGCGCCAGATCGACGTTACTCTATCCCTTATTGTTGAACGCTAAACAAGGTAGCAACAACTGATGGAGATGCAGCCATTTTGTTGCAAAGCACTGGAAGACTTACTGTGAACAACATGGCAGGGTCTGAGTAGTAATTCCATCAATGTTTAGCGTCATATTTCTTTCCGTTAGCGCATCATAATATATCAAAGCAACACTATGTTGTGATAATGTGTTATTACAGTTTGGCAACGTAAGCAGACGCGTGTTAACTTAGGGAATGATTGAATTTGCCTAAGAATCCAATCCTAATTGCACAATGTTGATACCCATGTTACATCGCCAATTTGCCTCGATCTTAAGGCCGGTGTGACCGCGTAGAATGTAACCCGCACCGTGCAATCCGTGCGGAAGAGGTCTCGCACCAATAGTCCGCCTGCCGCACCGAATGTCCGTACTTTAGTCCACACATATACATAGTCAACAGTGGCGTAATGAGCAAAAACGTTTGGGGGGGGGGGGGGGCTGACAAAAAAAATCTGAATCACCCCACTCTAACATGCAGGCCCCGCTGAACGTTTCTCAAAGTGGAGCCTAGGGGCAAAACCCCGGCGGTGTTCAAGGGGCGCAGCCCCCGAAGCTCAAGGGGTATGGGCATCAGTGGCGGATCCAGAAATTTCTTACCGGGGGGGGGGGGGGGCACAAAATGGCATGGGGTGAAATATATGTAAAACGATGAAGCGACAAAACGAGGCTTTAACGGCGAGGGAGCGGAGCGACCAAGCAGGGGTGGGTCTGGGAGGGGGTTCTGACCCCCTCCCAGAGTAAGAAGCATTTGCAACTTTAGAACCAAATTAGAAAAAAACTAAAATCGCTTTCTCCTACCCCTTCCAAGAATCTTTTGCAATTTTAGAACCACATTTGGTGCATTAATGTCCACCGGCACTTCATGGAAAAAAAAGAGGCCTTCTGACTGGTTAGAAGTTAGAGAAAAGGTGATCTGTCATGTCGTGAGACGTTGTATAAATTATGCTTTGATGCCGCACAATGCACACGACGGTGGTCCGGTACTTCACCAGTAGTACTTGAAAAATTATCTCGAGTATAAAAACTGTGTCGTTATCAGGTGCGTCGCTAGATCTTTTTCAGTGGGGGGGGGGGGGGGGGGGTGTAGAGGTCGCCGATTATGTCCAAATGTCTACAAATTTAACTCTATAAACCCGGGGCCAGGAACTAAGTTATTTTTCAGTTTTTCACCTCCCGCGCAAAGCACGGAAGTTTTGACACTTCATTAAATTATTAGAGAAAGAAGACGATCCGTTGTACTGTTCTCGACTCTTAAAGCTTGTTTCGCCCCTCCCGCGCAAAGCGCGGAAGCTATGACGTTTCATTTAATTATTAGAGAAAGAAGACGATTCATTGTACCGGTCCCAACTCTTAATCCTTGTCTGAATTCAGTTCCCCCCCCCCTCCCACGCGAAGCGCGGAAGCTTTGTCGTTTCATTTAATTATTAGTCTTAATCCTTGTCTGAAATCATTTTCGCGTTTCATTTATTATTAGAGAAAGATTAAGACGATCCGTTGTACCGTTCTCGACTCTTAATCCTTGTCTGAAATTAGTTCCCAACCCCCCTCCCGCTTTGCCATTTCATTAAATTATTAGAGAAAGAAGACGATTCGTTGTACCGTTCTCTACTCTTAATCTTGTCTGAATTCAATTCCCCCCACTGGGCCCCTTAACGGTATATGTGCAGTGTTACATGATGTAAGTATGGAACGCTCGTTTGCAAATACATGCTCAGTCCGAGTGGTGGGTAGCATGTTATCTCCCTGCAGTGCTTTGCACTGTAGCTTCTGGAAATGAATTAGTATTACTGTTAGTGGCCACTATAAGGCCCTTAGTGACTTTAACAAAAACATATGCTCTTCTTGGCTATTTGGGAATGGGTCAGTTTGCAAGAAATAATTGAGAAACTAGCAATTTGTTGAAAATCATGTGATATCACGAACATTTATACATTACTTGTGAAAATAAGTCATGGTTCAATTTTATTTGGGCCCCCCCCCCATCAGTGCGCCAGTGATAGTCAATATAGTGGAGGCTGTTAGGGCTAAATAGGGGTTGGTTGGTGCAGATTCTTTTAAAAGCACCAAATTTGGCCCAGAGGTAGTTTATACCATACTTTTACGATTTCTTCCGGACGCCAAGAAGGGCACCCTCTGGGTATGCCATATTCGGCAAATCCAAAATGGCCGCCATCTGAGTTAAAGGTCAAGCGTAGTTCCAAAAGGAAAAGCGGTTGTATGATAATAGTTTATATTTTTATGGGGTTTTGGGGGTCAGAGAATCTGATTTTGATGTTCTTTCATCGATTTGAGGTCTCCTAGGGTCTGCCATACTGGTCATATCGGTCAAATCCAAAATGGCCGCCATCTGATAGTTACACAATTTATCAAGTGTAGTTACGAAAGGAAATGGGCTAGTATGATAAAAGTTTATATATCAATGGAGTTTGGGGGTCAGAGAATCTGATTATGATATTCTTTCATCAATTTGAGATCTCCTTGGGGCTGCCATACTGGTCATATTGGTCAAATCCAAAATGGCCGCCATCTGATAGTTACAGGTCAAGTGTAGTTACGAAAGTAAATGGGCTAGTATGATAAAAGTTTATATATTTATGGGGTTTTCGGGGTCAGAGAATTTGATTATGATATTCTTTCATCGATTTGAGATCTCCTCGGGTCATACTGGTAATATTGATCAAATCCAAAATGGCCGCCATCTGATAGTTACAGATCAATAGTAGTTCCAAAAGGAAAAGAGCTAAAATGATTTTTTTAAAAATTATATAGTAAGGGGGTTTTCTGGGTCAGAGAATCTGATTATGATGTTGCTTGTATCAATTGCAGGTCTCCTTGGGGCTGTCATGCTATTGTCATGCCTATTGTCATGTATTGGCCAAATAAAAAATGGCCGCCATCCGAGTTAAAGGTCAAGCGTAGTTTCAAAAGGGAAAGGACCAGTAT